TTCTGTGCCTCTGCCGGTTTACCGTGGGGCGATGGAAGAGGAGCCTCAGGAGCAGTGAGGACAGGCATCAAATTCCAGCCCTGCCACAGGCAGCTGCTGGAAGGCTTCGAACTAATTGCTTAGCTTCTCTGAGCCTGAGTCTTCTCATCTATAAAGCAGCATGCTCCCTCCGGGGTGGGCATGAGGGTTCCCTGTTCGGAGTACTTAGCACCAGCACCCGTTAAGCACAGAGTTCGGGAGCGGGGCTGTGGGGCCTTTGCTGAACTCCTGCTGCGAGCACCCGAGGAGGTCTGCTTTAAGGACACACCACTCACCAGCATCACTCCCAGTGCCTGACTAAGGACACACCACTCACCGGCATCACTCCCAGTGCCTGACTAAGGACACACCACTCACCGGCATCACTCCCAGTGCCTGACTCAGACTTTTGCATCGCTCTTGGCTCCCAGTCAGTCTTGGGAAGGGACGGCTTCCTCCTCTCACGACGGGTGCACCCCGCCCCCAGCTGTCCAGTTTAGGTGGTGTTTGCAGGCAGAGGGAGAGCACAGGGCTGGGACGCCAAAGACTGCCTCCCTTCCAGTATTCTGGCTTTCCCTCCGCCCAGTGCCTGGGGCTGTTCGTAACCCCTGAAATGAGATGGGTGTGAGCGGGTCCCCAGCTGCCCACCCCCCGTGGGACTCTGCAACAGCATGGGTGGGAAGTGGGGGCAGAATAATAATAGCAGGCACTAATGGGCTGCTCATGATGTGCCGTGCACTGCTCTTAGTAATTTACAGGGTATACATCTATTTAATCATGTGCCTCATTTAATATAGGCAAGTACTGTTATTATCCTGTTTTAACAGATAGGAAACTGAGGCACAGAGGGGTTAGAGACTTCCACAAGTTCACACACCTGGCAAATATTAGAGCTTGTCAAGGGGCCCTTGACAGTATGATCCCTTGGGGCCCGGGGCTTGTTCCTTCCTGTCCAGTCCTCGTGTCTTCATTGCTGGCGAGCCATGCGTCAGGCCCAGGGCTCTGTTTCTTCCCATTTCTCTGGCTCAGCTAGGGTTAGGATGCTGACTACTCCTGACTCTTTTCCTGTGGCCCCATGATGGAAGGAGGGATAACGGGGCCATAAACAACCAGAACTGGGGGCCCCATTCCTCTTCCCTTCAGGTGCCAGCAAATTGAGGCATGGAACAGTATTTTGGGAGCGCTCCCACGTCTCCCTCATTGCCACTGCCATCCTAAAGGTTCCTCCCCAGGCAGTGGGCTCTATGGCCTGGTCCCTGGCCCTTGCCACACTTGGTAGGTGGCCTTGCCTATTGCATTGCAATTTAGCACATGCAACAATTAACCTTTTCTACAGTGCAAGAGAATTTCAGACACGAACTTACAGGGGGTGGAGACAAGTCACAGTATCTGTTCCATGCTTTGCGTGGGCTCAAAATATTTCATAAACCCTTCTAGGCTTTTTGTGTCTAAGGGCGTGTGGCTTCTTAGTGGGAAGACCCTTCCTTCCTCCAGTCTGGGTCACTGAGATCTATAGACCTGGGCCCTTTGGCCTCCACTGTCTTTGTCCATGCCGGAGAGGTGAGCCTTTCCTGTCTTTCCTAGGTGACTCTGTTGGCTTCTGGTTGAAACTGCTGGTGGCCCCTGACAGTACCTCAGGAATCCTGCTTCATTTCCTGTCTCCTCTGGCTTGGAGCTCAGCGCTGCGGGGGGGCCCCCCCCATTGTTCTTTACTTAGCTCCGTACTCCAGATTAGGACATTCTTGATATCCTCCCTCCAGGCTTTCTGCACCCCACAGCTGTCTACAAAGCCTTTTTGGCTCTTCAGGCTCTTCCCCCATGACATCAACCAGCTTGCCTGCCTCAGTTGAAGGTCTTGCTTTCATGGCTTGAGTTGGTCTTCATATCCATTCAGGGATTTCTGATAAACACATACCTGGATGCCAAGCACCAGTCTTCACGGGAAATTCTTATTATGTTTCTTTTATCATTTAAAAATACTACTCTTTCCAATTTACTGATTTCACTAAATCTAATCCTGTTTTACAAATGAGGAAACCCTTTTGAGAAAGGTCGGTTGGCTTACCTGACTCAAGCTAGGAAGTACAGAGCTGGGATGTGAGGTGTACATGGTTCCCGAGGCCACGTGTGTCGTACTGGGGCCATCTGGCTTGTCTACCAGGTGAAGAGTTGTGTGTAAGTCTGGAGGTGGGACGTGAACCCAGGCCTTCTGACTGCAGGTCCTCCTTTGCCACATAGTCTAACCTGTCTAAGGCAGAAAGAGCAGAACTTGGAGTGCAAGCTCTGAGTTCAAGAGGGACCAAGGGGCCCTTGGGTTTGGGCCTTGGTATATCCTCACTTAGCATGGTTGGTCAGAGCTTGAAGCTGCTTCCCAGGCTGTGGTCACTGGGTGGCAAACATAAACCCAGCCTGTAGTCTTGTTGGTGACTTGTCCCGGCTTCATCACTGAGCTCCAGCCTCAACTCAGGTGACGGAGAGGGTCCCTGTGCTGTGGCAGTTATGCTGGGGCTTACAGTGACAAGTGCCTATCCGATCACAAAGCACTCTTCAGAGGTATTCTTTCATTAGGTTCTTAGGATGGCTCTGTGAGGGAGGGGGCCAGGTAGGCATTACCCCCTCACTTATAGATGCAAAACAGGCTTAGGAAGGTAATGATCTCTCCAAGGTCAGTGGAGATATTGGCAAATTCTAGACCGGGGCCCAAGCCTCCCCTGATTGTAAATCCACGACTTAAATGTTGCCTCTGAGTGAATCTTCCTCTCTGGGCCTCATAGTGATCGATGTACCTGTAGGGGGCGAGAGAGATCTTTCTTATGTGGCTGCTCTGAGAAATTTTGCTTCTGACCGCTTTGAACTTACCGGTCACATAGCACATTATCTCACTGGGTTATAAGTAGTTTCTGTGTCTACCTCCCCTAGTACCCTGACACCACCCGCCCCCCCCGCCTGAATTCTTTCAGATTGGGACTCTTCTATTTCGTCTTGGCATCCAACACAATGTGGGACCCAATAAATGCCTGTTGAGTTGAATTACATGCAAATGAAATTGGCCAGTGCCGCCTCCTGCTTTTCTTAGGGCATGGGAAAGGAAAATAAACTGTTTTCCTGGTCCATGATAAAGTCGGTGGCAGAACTCCGAACCTGTGCAGTGTCCCCAGATGGCCACTAGGTGGCAGTGTGACCCCATGGGGACCTTGCCTCCTGCTTGCTCCCTGGGAGAGGGAACTATGGGCACCTGTTTGGGGATTGCCTCTGCAAGGTCATTCCGCAGTTGTCTGTCTGAAATGGACAAGTCTCGGCCTCCCACCCCTCCTCGTCAAGCTTTGTGGTGTCATGGAAAAGGCTTGGGCTTTGGAATCCGCCAGGCTTGGATTCCAACCCTGGCTCTGCCTTTCCCTAGGAACTTATTAGCCCTGGACACACCATTTCTCTGAGCCTCAGTTTCCTCATGCCATAAAATGGCAGTTGCTCAGTTAGAAAAGGCCCAATATATCATGGGCTGCGGTGTGATGAATTCTAGTTTTATTGCTGGAGATTCCTGTATTTGCCTTTTGCTGCCCTCTGTAATCTGGCTCCACCCTGGCCATCTGATCTTTCTGACCAAGCTTCCTGCACTGCCCAGCAGATCTCTGAGCCTTTCCTGCTGCATCTCCCAACTGCGTAGGGCCATGTGGGGCTAATCTTGACGGCTCACAGAGATGGTAAGTCTGTCAGGGTCTTTGTCTTAATTATTCTGGCATCTGCGCTGTGCCTTTAGCAGACATTCTGTGGTGAAAGTGACAGCCCTGGTTGTTGGGCATATGCCAGGGACGCTGCTAGGCGCTTTGCAGAATTGTTTCATTTAATCCTTGCAGCGGATCTATCCCCCATTTTACACAGGGATAGGCCAGGATGCCTTTGTCTCTGAGCAATAAAAAACTCTACTAAAAGCAGTTTAAATAGTAAGGAAAGGTGATTATCTTGCCAAAAACAAGTCCTGAGTGATGCTCATTGGTGTCAGCAAGGACCCAGGTAGCTGCCACATCTCCTGCTTGCCTTCCTCAGTGCGCTGATTTGTCCTCTTATGCTGGTCTCTCTTATGGCGCTAAGGGGGCTGCTGTGGTTCCAGGTGCCATATGCGGGAAAGATGCTGTAGCTTCCTTGTGTTCCCTTTAAGAGGCCTCTAACAGATTTGTCACAGAGTTCTTCTTGGCCAGTGTTGGGTCTTACGCTTGTTCCCAAGCTAGTCACTAGTAAAGGAATTCAGGGACTGGCTTGGGTTTGTCAAGATTCAGCCCCTGAAGCTGGTGAGGGATCCAGGTGAGGGATCCAGGTTCCATTTGCCCCTGGCCCCCTGGTCCACGGAAGAAGGCATAGGAAGGAGGCTCGTGAGTTAAGGAACTTGATCAAGGTGGCAAACCTAGGAAGGAGCAGCCTTCAGACCCCATCAGGCTGACTCCCTAGGCGGTCGGTTGTTTGAATGAAGTAAATCACAGAGGTAGAAAGCACATTGCTCTGGATTTGGTGTGCTGGACTTTGAGGGATCTTGGAAGTACCTTTTCTTACTGATTCTGGAGTCTCTCCTTTCTCTAGGCTCCTTTCTATAATGGTATCCATTTTCTTCAGTCTGTCTTTCTCCTCAGTGTCTCCTTTACCCTGTCTCCCAGTGCCCAACAGCTGCCTGCCTCCTAGAATAGATTTCTGGCGCATAGCTAGGAAGGGCCCCCCAGACAGAATGGTCCAAGGGCGGATTTCAGTGTAGCTGTCAGGGCCCCATCGGGGTCATCTTAAGGTTTCTTTCAGGTCAGAGAAGGGAGCTACAGAACTCTAAGTCAGGGTTTTGGAGAGGCCAGAGGAGATGCCAAGCGAGATGGTAGAGACCCAGCAGTAGCAGGGAGTTTATGGCCCACCAGCGGGGATGTCGGCGGGCACCCATGCCAGGTGGTAGCACCTGTCTACCTGCAGCGACAGTGTAGCCACACAGGAGGCCTTCTGGCTTGCAGATGCTTCAGGACTGCCCCAAGGCCCGCCGGGAGGTGGAGCTGCACTGGCGGGCCTCACAGTGCCCCCACATTGTGCGGATCGTGGATGTCTACGAGAACCTGTATGCGGGCAGGAAGTGCCTGCTGATCGTCATGGAGTGGTAAGCAGCCCGGCCTGGCCCCGCGGCCTGCTCAGGCCCCTCGCCCTCTGGGGACTGCCCGGCTCTGCACCCTGAGGCTCGAAAGGCCAAAGCTTGATTTCTTTTAGTAGGGAATGGAGAGGGGTGGGGTGGTGGGATGTTGTCCCCGTCAGATCTGACTGGGGCTTTGTTTCAGTTTGGATGGTGGAGAACTCTTTAGCCGAATCCAGGACCGAGGAGACCAAGCGTTCACAGAAAGAGGTAGAAAGGGTCTGTTGTGGGGACAGGCCCCGGCGGGCAGGGCTGTGGGAAGGGGGGCTCCAGAGCCTGCTGTCTACGGAAGATGCTGAGGCCCGCAGCCTGCTCCAGCTCGCTGCCAGGCCTGCCGTGCCCACTAAATCAGGACAGCTTCTCCTCGTTTCTCGGCTTCGAGGGTGGGTGGTGGGTGCAGCGAGCCTGGGGCTGATGGGAGGGGACTGAGTGTATTGCGTCATCAAACCTAACAGCACATCTTGTGCCTTTCTTTCTCTCTCCCACCTCACGGCTCCAGAAGCGTCAGAAATCATGAAGAGCATCGGTGAGGCCATCCAGTATTTGCACTCAATCAACATTGCTCATCGGGATGTCAAGGTACCACCCGCTGCGCTTTGCTGCCCCTACCCCCGGCCAAGGTGTGGCGGGGGCCACGGTGACCCTGCATCCTTGCTGCCTGGTTCCTGAGGGCAGAATGGGGCAGGGTGCCATTCTCTGCCCTCTCTGGGCAAATCCCCAAACCCAGGAGCGAAGCCTGCTGTGGCTCTGCCCAGCCCTGTGGCCCTCCTTCGTCAGCACCACATAGTCACACCTTTGGTTTCCTAGGTCCCTGTGGTGTTTGTTAGGTGGTTGTCTGTGTTTGTCTCTTGGCTCCATGTACTCTGGCGGCTCTCAGAAGGCAGGAACACTCCTTGTGGCGTGCCCATCGAGGGCACAGATGGTGGTGGAAAGGATGAGGGAAGACAGGAATCCTTACCCTTCTGATTCTCATGGCTCCTCAGAGGCTCAGCAGAGCCGCCCTCTGTCTGTCTCTCTCTCCCTGTAGCCTGAGAATCTCCTGTACACCTCCAAAAGGCCCAACGCCATCCTGAAACTCACAGATTTTGGCTTTGCCAAGGAAACCACCAGCCACAACTCTTTGACCACTCCTTGTTATACACCGTACTACGTGGGTAAGTCCAGAGGAGGCTCGGGGAGCTTGTCTTTCCCCAGAGCCGTTCTCAGGCGCTCTCTACAGCTCTCAGCGGCCACTGGGCCTGGGACAGTCGTGTCTTCTGTCCCTTTCTGGAGCTGGTGTTGATGTGACCTGCCCAGAAGTAGGGCTTGTCAGAGTTAAGGTGGGATTGAGGCGTTAGAGGAGATTAATTTGTCTGAGATTATAGGCAGGATTTTGTGCACACATGTAATTTCCCCAAGAAGAGCTGTCATTGCCCTCAGATTCCCAGTGGGGTCTGGGGCACAGATGTCGTTCTGGAGCCCCGGCTGACTGGCACAGAATAAACTCATGTTTGTCAAATTAAGTGGACAGCATGGGCCGGAAAGGCTCTTCAGTTCAGGGATTGTTTCATTTTCAGATTCTAGCCCCAGAGTTCCTCTTGGAAGACGCCCTTCTGCTCTCCCCGACCCAGGCCCCACTGGGTTATGGCTGTCCCCTTCCTACCTGCAGCTCCAGGACCATCACGATGGGCTGAAGGGTTGGGATGGAGAGCGTGATCCACAGAGAAGTTGGGGTGTATCACAGTGTCCAAGGGCCAGACCCACCCACATTGACCTTTGGTTTGCAGCTCCAGAAGTGCTGGGTCCAGAGAAGTATGACAAGTCCTGTGACATGTGGTCCTTGGGTGTCATCATGTACATCCTGTGAGTGTGTCAGGGACGGCCTGGCGGGGAGGCTGGGGCTGGGCTGGGGCAGGGCAGAGAAGGAGGCCGGTACCTCTCCGGGACAAGAGGAAGAAGCAAAGGTTCGAATCCCCTTCTGGGTGGGGGAGTCCCTGGGAATCCCCTGCATGTCCCCTCCTCTCAGTGCTTACTGAATTCTGATAGCTAAGCGCTGGGTATAAGCTAGCGAACAGACAGGAAAATGTGTGGTTTAGATACTTGGTGTGTTGGATTTCTGGGCCCTGTTTTTGACTTCACCTATTGTGCCTGAAATCCACGAGTTCCAGCTTCTCCGTGACCTTGACAAGAAGCCCGTTTCCCGCCCTGTTCCTGGTTCCAGGCCCCTAATAACCCCAGCCCCGTCCCTCCCTCCCTTCCTGCTTCTTGGTCCAGGCTGTGTGGGTACCCCCCCTTCTATTCCAACCACGGTCTTGCCATCTCTCCGGGCATGAAGAGTCGCATCCGAATGGGCCAGTATGAATTTCCCAACCCAGAATGGTCAGAGGTATCGGAGGAAGGTAAGGACCCCACACCTGCACACGCGTGTGTCCTGTGGGCGTCCCGCCCACGTGCGTGGTGCGGCAGCGGGTCTCTACCTGTGTGCTCCCTGCGGGGTCCGTCCTGTCTGTGTGAAGGACCTGGCTCAGGGCCAGTTCCTTGGGCAGTGTGCCTCCCTGCAGCCGCCCCCTGCCCCTGCATCTGGTTTCTCCCTGAAAACTTGGGGAAGAAGCAGAAGAGAGAGAATGTCCCCTGAACGGTGTCTCCCTGCCCCACCCCCGCAGTGAAGATGCTCATCCGGAACCTGCTGAAAACAGAGCCCACTCAGAGAATGACCATCACGGAGTTTATGAACCACCCCTGGATCATGGTAAGTCTGGTGGGCCAGAGAGACCCCGGTCCACAGAAACTGTCCCTCAGGGCGAGGGCTCAGCCGCAACTCTGTTCCACCCCAGGCCTTCACTCGAACTCCTTTTCTCCTCCCTCCCCAGCAATCAACAAAGGTCCCTCAAACCCCACTGCACACCAGCCGGGTCCTGAAGGAGGACAAGGAGCGGTGGGAGGACGTCAAGGTGAGGGGACCACTGGCTGCAGGGGTGCTCCGGGGGGGGGGGTGCGCACGCTCGCCCCAGGGGTCTCTGTTACAGCAAGGGCAGCGACCCTGAGCCACCTCCCTGACCAGGCTGCGCTGGGGAACCGTGTCAGTCTAAATGCAGCTGTGGCGGTTCCCTACAAGCCCACTGCTCACTGGCTCTCTAGAGGGACCCGAAAGGCTGTCTGCTATCATCTCCCCATTTTGCAGATGAGGAGACTGAGGTCCAGAGAGGGGGAGTGACCTACCCAAGGTCCCGCAGCTAGCGATGGGCTGGGATGGACCAGAGCCCAGCTCCCTAACTCCCAGTTCAGTGCTCTTGCTGGTTCCAGCGGGGCTGTGGGGGAGGGGTCCCTGGGAGAACAGCAGCAGTGTTGTGGCCAGGGTCTGGTGACCCAGGCGGGGCCGGGGCTGCTGTCAGCTCTGGACCCACTGACCCACTGTTGTCTCCCGCTCCCACCCTCTGTCACCCTCACCCTGCCCTTCCTTGTGTCTCTTGTCGCCCCTGCCTCCCCCTTGGGGGAGCCCTGCCCCCTCCCCAGGAGGAGATGACCAGTGCCTTGGCCACAATGCGTGTCGACTACGAGCAGATCAAGATAAAGAAGATTGAAGATGCGTCCAATCCTCTCCTTCTGAAGAGGCGGAAGAAAGCTCGGGCCCTGGAGGCCGCAGCCCTCGCCCACTGAGCCTCTGAGCCCATCCGGCTCCACTGGAGGACAAGCAATAACTCTCGACCTGAATATATTTTTTAAACGAAGAGACACAGAACTGTCCACTTCCACCTCACCTCCTCCTCGGCGGCGTGGAGCCCTGAACCCTGTCGGCGGCTGCGACCCGCCTTTGGTTCCGGCCGCCTCAGGGAGGGAGAGGCTGGGAGGCGGGAGGCTGGGAGGCTGGGGGGCCGTGTGGAGAGAAGGGAGCAAGATGCTCTTGAACCTGTGCTCATTTTGCAGTTTTATCAGTAATTTGACTTAGAATTTTTATGAAACCTCTTTTATTGTTCTTTCCCCCCAATCTGCCTCCTTACCCAGACCCCGTCCTCTCTGGATGTGCAAAGGTTGGGGGTTGGTTCAAGGGTATTTGTGGAACCTGTTGTAGGGACTGTCCCTGTGTTGTCCCACCCGCCCTCTCTTTTCCCACCACAGCCTGAGGCCCCTGCTGGCCGAGGCATTCCGGCGGCTCCTGGTCCTGTGGGGCGGGGGTCGGGGCCAGGATGCCACCCACCTCTGCTGGAGCCCTCAGACGTCACCAGTGTGCCAGACGGACAGAGGCGAATGTGATTGTGCGCGTGCGTGTGTGTGTACGTGTGCCCACAACTGTGTCTGGGACTGTGCATTTGAGGGCCCGGGGCAGGCAGGGCTGCAGGCAGAGGGGCCCTGCCGTGGCTCAAGAACCTTACCCCTCCTCGGGCCTGCCGTGCCCATGTCGGGTCTACCAAAGTGCCTGAGAAGCCTATCCCGATTCTGAGCCAGGGCCCCTGTGGCCTGCCTGTTGGCTGGTTCTGGGAGGAAGAGAGGAGTGACGTAGGCACTGGTGCAGCGGCCAGGAAGACTGGACCACCCGCCCCCCGGCCCCCTGCTCCCCACTCAGTGCTGGTCTTAGTCCTCTGAGGCGCTTACCCACCGAGTAGCCTCTCTTCTTCTCCTTCCTGCCATTATTGACCGGTTCTTGTCAATTTTTCCTCCATTTTTAGCCGCTTCTTACCAGGCCTCCTCTCTGCTCTTGGGGAGGAGCCCAGGCCGTTGAGAAGTGATGCAGAGCTCCTGCATTTGGCCGCTCTCCCGGGCTCTGGGGGCACTGGCCAGCTCCCCGTTGTGGGCAAAGGCAACGCCACTTGTGTGGTCCTGCGAATTTCCACTGTGGCCTAGTGGGCGGGTGGGGGAGTCTTCACACCAAAGATGTCCCGACTCTGCCCCTTCCCCATTAGCTGCTTCACCTCCACCCCAAACAACTCAGCTTTGTGTGTCCCGGCCAGTGAGGGGGAGGGCGGGGAGGGCCCCCCCCCCCATTTTAGTGAGCAACACGGGGAGAAGTCCTCTGGGCCAGCGTCTTTTCGGGGCAGGGGGTTGCACTAATACTTCAGCTCTCTTCTCCCTCGGGGCTGATTTGCTGGAGGAGTAGCCCGGATCCTCTCTGCGCGTGGGGGAAGGGCTCCGAGTGCCCGAGGTGCCTCCCTGTCTCTTGATGGTGTGTCCAGCACTCAGATTGTTGTAAACTGTTGTTGTTTTGTATGAGCAAAATTGTCTTTACTAAACGGATTTAATAGTTGAAAGGTTTTCTTGCTCTTCCTTCATGGGACTCAGCCTCTCCACACCCCCCACCCCCATGTCTCCTCTTCACACCCGTGGAGAGTAGTTTTGTATGTTGGGAGGGCAGAATCTGGGTGTGATGGGAGGGCCTCCCAGGTGAGGGAGCACCTGTCCCGTCCAGGCTCTGGCCGGGCCGCGTCTGCCATAGGGGCACGAATGCTGCTCTCCTTTAGAGCAGCGTGGGACGGCAACTGGGGGCGGGGGGGAGCCCATGGTCTTTTGTCAAATACTGAACCAGGAGCCAGGTGGCTTCTCAGCGCATGGTTCTTTGACCTGTTTAGCCACAGCCAGGTGCTGGCCTCCTCAGCTGGAAGGGACCTGCTGGTGTGGGTTTCTGGGGTCAAATCCTGGGGAGAGACCAGGGGAGCAGGGTGGTGTAGTTCTGGAAAATTCCAGGAGGGGGCGATAGGGGTTAGGCTTAAAGCGAAATAGTCTACATTGACCTGGAAGAGGCCTCAGCGTTCATGTGACCCAGCTGCCCCCATTCACAGATGAAAAGAGGAAGGCCCACAGGTGGGATGTTTGGGATCACACAATGGATTGGTTTGCATTAGGGCCTAAGGTAGACATTGGTCTACTGACCCCACAGCTCTTCCTGCCAGTCGGAAGGACAAATAGTGCACTCTAGGTAAGTTCACATTTTCTCCCATGGTCCGCAGAGCTGACTAGGGAGAAAGGCAAGGCAGGGTGTTTACCCCGCTTCATGAGGGAGGGAGCTGACAGGGCGGAGGAACGTATTGGACATCACACAGCTAAGTGGTTTGCACTAGAACTCAGGAGCCAAAGACCTGGGATGTTCTCCATCCTCACACCTGGCCTTCTGGCTGGCAGAGGCCTGCTCATCCCCTCTGTCATTAGCAAGATCGTGGCTCTGCTGCTCAGGCTCGTAGACACGGGCAGGGTGGCCTGTGGTGGCCCCTGACGTCCCCTTTATAACTCCTGAATGGATTGCCGAGGTTGGGTCCTAGCTCGAGACTCCACTCGTGTGTGTAGAAACCACTGCTCAGATAAACCAGCAGGAGGTTTTGCTCTCAGGGAAATCCAGTTGCATTGTCTGCACTTACACAAGTGTGAGAAGTGACGAGAACTTGGAGGAAGAGGGAGCGAGGGCTGGTAGGAGGCGAGCCAGGGTGAGAGGGCGGAAGGGCATTGTCACCCTCCGCTGTCTTGGGAGGCTGTATTTCTGTTGCCGCCCTAATGCTTCGTGGCTTACAACAGCGCAAATGTAATCTAGTCCCGCAGGTCAGAGGTCTGATAGGGTCTCACTGGCCTAGGATCAAGGTCTCAGCAGAGCTGCATTCCTTTCTGGAGGCTCTAGAAGATTCCGTTGCCTTTTCCAGCTTCAGATGGCTTCTGCATTCCTTGACTCGTGACCCTCTTCCTCCGTCTTCGAAGCCAGCAGCATCGCGTCCGTCTGACGCTTCTGTGGTCCCTTCTCTTTGACCTAGCCAGGGGCTAGGTCTCCACTTTTAAGGACTTGGGTGATGAGATGGAGCCTCCCCAGATCATCCAGGATAATCTCCCCATCACAAGGCTCTTAACCTTCATCCCATCAGCAGTTCCCTTTGTGGTGTAAGGGACCATGTGCCTAGGTCCATGGGATCAGGGTGTGGGCACCACCTCCAGATGCGGGACACCTGCTCTGTCACAGGCCTGTCGCACAGCCATCTCATCCTCTTGGGCCCGCACGCTAACACTTGTGTTTGCTGGGTCAGCCCGGCTCAGGGCCCAGCCAGACGGTCCTGGAGCTGGTGTTCAGGGAGGATGGCTGGGGTGAAGGGCCAGGAGGGGCCCAGCTTGGCGCATGGGGTCTTGCCATGTCTTTGCACTCCTCCCTGTCCCCCTGAGCCCTGCACGGGTGGCTCCGTGATTTCCCTGACCCTTAACCTCCTTCAGCCAAATCCCCAGGTGGGATGGGAAAGGGAACTTGGACCTAAAGGCAGTTGCTGGCTTTCATGGGGGCAGGAGGCAACAAGATGTGATCCCTGAACGACCCTCAGGGGTGTACGATGTAAAGGGGACTTAAGGGCTAGTCTCCAATTTACCTACGAGGAAGTGCAGCCTCACAGAGGTAAAATGACCCTCCCAAGGTCTCACAACTACGCAGAGGTGAATCTCACCTGGAGCTCCAGTTTCCAAGTTTAGAGTTCCTTGAAAACAACAAACCACACACAAAAATGCTTCTTGGTAAGGAAGGGGTGGGGGGTCAAGAGTGAGGCACTGGATTCCCTTCCACTGAGTGGAGTTGTTTCCTTTTCTACGAAACGGGGGCGAGGTTGCTGCGCCCTGTGGCTATTGTGAGGAATTCAATGGGACCATGGAGTTCAATGCTTTACAAGGTGCCAGGTGGCCTTGATGAGTCCCACCGTCCAGAGGGCACAAGGCACCCCGGGTTCGGAGTAGGGCCAGTGGCCCAGGCTGCTGTCAGTCCTGCCCTCACTTGAGGGCCTGTCTCTGTGCTTTGGGTTGATGCAGTCGGTTTGGTAAACAATAACAGTAAATTTGGGGTTTTCCTTTGACTTGGTTGGAGACAGGAAGCGCCTATGGAGGGCTGTGAATGACGAGTGGGCAGAGTGGGTAGTGCCTGGTCAGGGTGTGAAGGAAATTCAGTTACTCGGGGGAGGAGGATGGGGTTGGTGAGGCCGGGGAAAGTGGCTGTCCCACCCACCCCATAAATGTAAACAGACCTGCTGGCCACTCCCCAGGTGGGCCTGAGCGGGGACGGGAGCACCTTGGAGGGCATCCTCTGCACCCTGGACCCCAGGAATATAGCCCCTCGCTGGCTTTGTCTCTTGAAGTCCACATTTAGGGGCTCAGCGGCCCCAGAGGGAGTTTGGCCAAGTTTGGAAGTAGCTCCTCTTTGGAAGGGACACCAGGCTCCAGCTCTGGGGAGCCTTTTGGCAAATTCATCTACCTCTCCTCTCCCGGCACTAGGACCAGTGTGAAGAGACCACCCAAAATCCTAAATCACTAAATACCCAGACACTAATATGCACTGTGCTTTGGGAAAGACAAAGTGTAAGACCCAGTTCCTTCTCAGTATGCAACCTTGAGAGGACTCGTCTTTTCCTTTCTCTGCCTCCACAGGCCTGGACACCTACTTTGTGGTCTGAATCTATCCGTTCAAAACCGCTGCAGACAGTGAGGGGCGTGTCGTCCGAGCCTAGGTGGCCCAGGGCAGCCTTTGAGCACCCTGAAGGTTTTGACACGAGGGATGAGTGAGGACAAAGAAGCACACCCTGGATCCTTGTCTTCTGGACAAAGTCCTCACACCTGTGACTTCCTGGGGATAAGATCAGTTCTAGCCCCACTTAGGTGTGTGAGGATTAAATGTGGCCATGCCGGGGGCGGGGGGCACCATCCCTGGGTGTACTAGAGGGTTCCTCCTTGTACAGGTCACGCTTTGAGGGGGATCAGTGCTTTGGCCTCCTTGGCTCGACCACTCTTTGAGAAGACTCAGCCCCCTCGCAAAAGTTAAAACACCACGTTCTGATTCAGCTCATCTTGAGCACCTACTCCGTGCCATGCCCGGTGCTCAGGACTTTGGGGGAGACACAGATGAATTGGAAGTGGGTCTCTAGCCCTCATGGGGCTCAGCCTAGAGGAGCAGGTTGACAGTAACAGAACAGAAAGCAGGGGAACCAACACATAAAACAGACAG